CAATTTTCAAATCGCTAGTAAATTTCACAAATAATTACAAAGAAACAGCAAGTAACACATTGAATTTTAAGTAGAGCATATTTATAAAACATACTCAAATGATCTTTATATTTGCAATTTCAACATTTTTTTTTTTCGGTGCCGTTTAATAGTAAAATATCTATTACATTAAGTGAAATAGCTAGTAAATAGATATCAGTTATTTTTTTAAAGTGTAAAGAACAATGTTATAAAAGTTACATGGGATATGAATACGCAGTAAGCTCTGGGATTTTGAGACACATTTTACTAACACTGTTTAAAACATGACTCCATAGTGTCTGTAACATGTATTAAATGTCCACTGTCATGTCACTGTACTTTAAGTTAAATCCATTAAAGTGTCTACTGTCATCCATTTTCTATGATTTTGAATAATTTGAGAACAATAATAATAATAATTATAATAAATACAAATACTACTAGTACTACTAATGATGATGATGATGAAATCTACCATTCCTTAGCTAAACACACCTCCAGGCAACTGAAAAGGTAAGAAGAGTTACGCTTTTGTTATGCTAATATCTTCTGTTACTTTTATTATGCGTGCCGAAATATTGCCGGAAGTTGATTAAATCGATAAACCGACTTCGTCACAAAACAAAAGTGTCATGGCGGAGTTAAATGAAAACGCTCTTGATAAGGACAAATCGTTGGCAAAAAACAGTAGAACTGGGGACGCTGAAAACATGAAAACACAGATTCACAAGCCCTGTTCCCAGGGTAAGCAAGACACAGCCACCGCTGTTACCACCACGGAGTACTGCGAAAAATTACAGGAGTGGATGTGGCAGTACTACTACAGCTATATGAACTGGCAGAGCTGGATAGCCATGTCTGCGTTTTCCTTCCCACCGTGTTTCCCAACACAAGGAACAAATGAAACGCCCGGGGCTACGACATGGGGTGCAGATATGTCTAACGGAGACCTTCGCAATTGGTTTAGCAGCCCGTTTGGTTTTCCTGCTGCAGCTGCGAACGCGAGCGGACAGAGTTCTCGAGCTCCCGCCACAGCACCTGCGCAGCTGCCACAACAACTACAGCAGCAACAGCAGCCTAATGGAAATGCGCAGCAGCCAGGTAATAATATCCAATGAATAACGTCTTATATTTTTGTTGTTAATACTGTCAGGCTAGCTGTTGTATTGTGTTGATGATTACCCTAGTGATGAATCTGACATCCTCAAATGTCAGGTGACTGTGAGCGAGCCTTCTTGGACTTTGCGTTTAGTTTATGCATAACAGTTAGTACAGTATAATTTAGTTTTATTCATATGACCTACATCATGTTAACTCTTGGGTCATTCTCGTTATAGAGTAAGTATTTCTGTAACGTGGTACACCTGACTTCCAGAAATATGCTTTTGTCAAACTCAGGCACTTAAACTTAATTTATTATGGCTTTATTATTATGTGAACATTGTCAATGAATTAACACGATGTCTAACAGAATAGGAAGTTTTATCTAACAGGATGGAGTATTTTAGAGTGATATAAACCAACTAATACCACCAAACCACCCCACAATTTTTGTTAGTTAAATGTTTATTATAAAAGACAAACCAGGTAGAAAGTGAAATTGCAGAAACAGGAAAAAAAACTATGAAATGATTATGAATTACAACATTCACATGAAATCATGTGTTGTTTGAGACTTTGTAATTGGAGAAAGGGCAGTTGAGGAAACACCATTCTTTATAATCGCCAGTTTTATTTTAGAATGATCACTTAATTGTGAAACAAATATTATTCCCATCTTTGAAAATTTTGAGATTATTATTTTATCCTATATATTAAGACATATGATGGGACATGAAAATATATTTCATAACAAGAATGATCCACTTTACAAAAACAGTTAATGTCTATAATGTGTTTTGTCTAGGTTGGGAATATTATATTCCCTCTCCTTTCCAACGGTTCTTGGCAGAAATGGTGGATTTCTTTATTCTTTTTTTCATTAAAGCTACAATTATCCTCAGTATTGTCCACTTGAGTGGAATGAAGTAAGTCTGAAATTGTATTGTTTATATGTCCTAACATATTGCTCATGCTGTATTTCGTTAAACAAAATCATTCATTTATCTCTTTGTCAATTTTAGGGACATCTCAAAGTTTGCCATGCACTTCATTGTAGAGGAGATTGATGAGGACACATCAATGGAGGAATTGCAGAAAATGATGCTTGTGGCTCTAGTGTACAGGATATTAGTTTGCTTTTATGAGGTTAGTTCAAACAAATGATTTAATCTGCGGAAATAATTCATGAAGACCTGTATAACTGTTTTTGATTGATTTCAGATCATATGCATTTGGGGAGCTGGTGGAGCGACACCAGGGAAGTTCCTCATTGGCTTACGAGTGGTCACATGTGACAGCTCTGTCCTGGTTCAGCCAAACCGCGTTCTTGTGGTACCAGCGACTAACGTCACGCTTTCTGCGTCAGTGTTAACATCACTCTCTGTCTTTTTTATTAAATATTTGACCTTTTTCCAAAATGTAATTTTTAAACTTGTATTTTGATTTTCTTGTAGGTCAACGGTGAGAGCGTTAAACAAGAACTTCTCCATCGCTTTCTTCTTTCCGGCGTTCATCACGCTTCTTTTCTTTCAGCACAACAGGACTGTGTATGACATTGTGGCTGGCACCATTGTGGTCAAGAGAAACCGGCTTAGATGACTTTGTCATTGAAGTCAATACCAACCCGACATTGTAATGCAAAAACAAGCTCATAGACAAATGAGAGAGAACCAGCTGCAGTGACACATACTGAACTGAACTAAAGCTATTGGCCTCTCGAAGAACTGTCACTTTAAGATCTGAACACTGAATTTCCAGTAATTCTCACCCATCTTCTTTGGACACTTAGTCTTATAAGCATGAACAGCTTTCTCAGAAGTGTTTTTTAATCATCTGTGTTGACATCTTTGAATATTTTTCTTGTGCCAAAATAAGATAATTTATAAATGCGCTGCCTCACAATACTTGAACTTCCTCTGGTACATGCATTTAATCTCTATCTCTCTCTGTTAATGAATGTGGATTATTGATCAGAATATTAACTAAGAACATTCTTTCTCCAAAGGCAATATAGTTTGGTTATATATCCTAATCTACTGACTGGATTTGTATTTCAGATGAATGTTTTGTACCTAATTAGCTATACTTTATGGCCTTTAAAATCTTGAAAATGCCAGGAAATTTTTTTTTTTAGCAGTTTTGCATACTGTAATTTTCACTGCATGCCTTTTTCAACTCCAAGTTCTGCACTATTATAAGCTTCTGAGTTGAGCAGTTCAACTTTAAGTTGCCTCATTCTTTATCAGTTTGTTTTTCCTTTTGGATTGTTTAGATATGGCCAAATCAAAATAATTCAATTATGTCCCAGAGAAATCATTATGTGTTGTCTCTGTTTATAGATTGACTATTTACACCAATAACAATCCTTTGAATGTTTATTAGGGCTGGGTAAAAAATATCGATATCTCGAATTTAATCGATTCTAATTTTTGCAAAACGTTATCGATTCTTAAATCCCAAGAATCGATTAGTCTAGCCCAGGGGAATATATCGCAATAAGTATTGTGCTTTGGTACTTTTAATATGAAACAAAGTCGCAGATTTCAAATTCTGTCCGTTGTATTGCAGTATTCAAACAATAAATGCCGTTTTGGCGCTGTTTAATGTGGAGTGACGGATCGCTGTAGCGCCTCAGTTCAGCAGACGCAGCAGCGCGAGGCGCACGTGAACTGATCATCTCCTCCACATTAATACCAGTTTCAGCACAAAATAAACATCCGAAGGTAAGTTAAAAGAAAGTACAACTTTACAATCCGTATCCTGTCTCATGTAATCGCTCAATAAGTGTTTCAGCCGCGCAAAGACGTCGATATTGCTTGTAAAAGTGTCATGTAATGTCACCTCAGAAAAAAACATATTCGGTGACCATAAACTCATTAGTCGGCTAGAAAATTAAACTAGAGAGGGGCATTTTGCTAAATATATGCACCATATAATTTTATTATAATTTTTTACTTTTCTTCAATGTTTCAGTTATATTTTTTATGACAGCCACCATTTAAATGTTAAAAAAACGAATAGAAGTAGAAATGTTATGTAATTGTAACTTTTTTTAATAAAAACTTCAAGTGTAATTGAAGCAGTTATATAGCCTACAAAATCAGTTAGTTTTAACCTTCAATATTATAGAAATGTACCAACTGACTTTTACAGCATTAGTTAATAGAATTTTTTTCCCTTGAGAAAATTTGGCATGTGTACCTGATATATATCCAAAATAATCGAATCGAATTGGGAATCGAATCGCAAGCTTGTGAATAAGAATCGAATCGTGAAATTTGTGTCAAAACCCAGCCCTAGTGTTTATACAGGGATTATACAGCACATGAAAAATGGTTTTATTTTCTGAAATTGTGCTTACAGATGTAGATGCAAAGTGGGTTGCACTACGTTCATTTCCAAATAGTTGTAACAGTCAGAATGTGGACAAAATGTGAAAAGCACTTAACACTTTCAGCACAAAAAATATTTTTTTCATTTTTTATAGGACTGAGTAAAAAGAAACTTCTGAGTGATGCAGATACATGTAAAGATAACTGATAAATTACAAAAAAAGGTTATGCCTTACTAAACAAACAAAAAAAAATTAAAATAAAACCACCAATATGGTACTGGCATATGGTGTATCTCTATATTACTATTATTTTTTAAATCGGAAGACTGCTAACATTTTTCAGTTTGCTATTAAATGACATTAATTGAAGCAGGGCAGTAACCATTTGCATTGTATTGGTCTCATCCTTAAAATGAAGACAGATAATGTGTACAAAGATCGAACAGGGCAGTCTTACATGGAGGTAGTTTTTGTTACATCTGGCACCCCTAGCAGTTGTACT